AAATGAGCTTTATTTCATAAAAAGTTTATAAAATGCATATTGTACAAAAATAAAGTCTGTAGAGAACTTTGGTTGGTTAACACAAATGTTTGAGACGTAAATTGGTGGTGAAGTTAAAATCCCAAAAGAAAGATGCTCTCTTGTTTTTGACCTTGATTTTCCGCAGAGAAAAAAAAATCACAAACTTTACCCTTTTTGTAGTTTCTGAATGTTAGCATTAGGCTGCCATTAGAGGTTGAGACTCTGGAAGAAAAGCTGATGGAGCAAACTATCAACTGTTAGTGAAGGCTCACTGCAAATGCTCAACTGACTCGGGTTAAGGTGCTGAAAGCTAATCTGAGCAAACAGTATGACTCAGCGATCAGGCTTTGTGCAGCCAGCACTATGCTAAGTGGCCAATGCAGATTAGAGTGAAGGTGAACATAAGAGTACGAACCAATATTCTTACACTACCAGACCATGTTCTAAGCTGAGCATTTATTCTAATTTGCTTGCGGGGAAATGAGATAGCATTGCATCAAAGCAAGTGTTGTCCTACACTTTCCAGTACATTTCTCCCAAGCAGCCATAATTTCACAACCTCACAATTTCACAACCCAAAATAGTCACAGTCTGGAAGTGCCCAAATGTTGCCTAAAGGACTGCTATTAACATCACACACATTAATTTCAAACTGAATGGGAGTGACCTTGTCTGAGTTGCAGTCTGATGTGTTGACTTAGGACAGGCATAGGCAAACTCGGCCCTCCAGATGTTTTTGGCCTACAACACCCATAATCCCTAGATAACAGGACCAGTGATCAGGGACAATGGGAATTGTAGTTCCAAAATATCTAGAGGGCCGAGCTTGCCTATGCCTGACTTAGGAGAACAAGTCATTTAAGCACAACACATTCCCAAAAGGACAATTGATCAGAAAACACCCTGGCTGAATCTGGGTTTTCTATGGGTTCATCTTAGGAAGCAAAGCAGTCTTGGCTTGCTAAAAAGAACAAGCAGGATTTAGGATATGTCTAGACCAACATTTTTTCATGCAAATGGATGCAAACATTATTTTTTTGCAGGGAAGAGTGTGCACGATCTGTGTTGTCTGGATGGTGCAAAAGTGTGTGTCTGGTTGTCTGGTGCATTGTCTATCTTCATGATCATTGTCTATTTTTGACATCAGAGTCTTTCCCTGGACAGAGTCCAGCTGAATTAAGGGCCCTTGGTTTCAGCGGAGTGTTAAGCATGTGTATACCGTATTTTTCGCTCTATAAGATGCACCGACCATAAGACGCACCTAGTTTTTGGAGGAGGAAAACAAGAAAAAAAATATTCTGAATCTCAGAAGCCAGAACAGCAAGAGGGATTGCTGTGCAGCGAAAGCAGCAATCCCTCTTCCTGTTCTGGCTTCTGGGATAGCTGTGCAGCCTGCATTCGCTCCATAAGACGCTCACACATTTCCCCTTACTTTTTAGGAGGGGAAAAGTGAGTCTTATAGAGCAAAAAATATGGTAAATGCCACCCATTGAAACCAATGGAACAGGATCAAAGATGTGATCCACAGCAAAGAGAAGCAAAACTAGTAAAAAAAAAAGAAATGTGAAAAGAGTTCCTGACCTGGATACACTCTTAGTCACTTTTTTTCAATATATTTAGAGCTCTTGCTATAGAAAGCATCTCTTTCCTTTTTTAAAAAAAAGTTCATTATGCAACCCTTGCATACCAAAGAATGCTGCTGTAGATTCAGCAAAGCATATGCATACTTTGATGCTCTTTGACTTAAAAATAATGTGCTTGCATATATTTTTCCACATAGGACTAATTGCTGTTGAATGTATTTTAGTTCTAAATTAGATCATTCATCTCTCTGCTTCATGCACCATCTTGGCAGCCCATATAAAACCTGGTGGTCTTCTGCTTTGACTACTAAACTCATTAAACACAGGAGACGTTGATTTGATACCCTGTAAGGGATTGCTTTCGCCAAGGTTAGGCAATTGCCAATAAATAGATGCCTTTGCTGCAACAAAGGGGTTCATGAATTTCTGCCAGAAGGATAGAATGAGTTGGCCCTCCTAGTATGAAATGCCCCCAAAGCTGTAAGACTTAAGAGGCATCACAGTTTTAATTTTTTTTTGGGGGGGGGGAGCCTTGGATGTACATGCAGTTCATACCTGCACTCCATAGCCAACCCAGGCTGGCAAAGTAAACTTGTGGATGGCTTTGCTGTCACCTTCCTCTGCACATCAACCCTGGGCAGCATTTAATTAATGCAAGCCAGAGGCAAGTAAGAAAAGGTGCTTGCTTCGTGTCCTGTTAAGTGATAGGGAGCTGCTACATACATATGCTGAAAGAGACAGCTTTAAGAAGGGCAGCAGGGAGGGAAATTTCATTAAGGACTAAATCGGAATAAATTATTGACATTCATGAGACTGCCCATAGCTCAGTGGTAGCGTCAAGGTTTTGCATGCACAACATCTCAGGTTCAATTTCTTATCTAGGGTGGCAACTTATGCATCACCAAAAACAGAAAAGAAAGAGGAAATCAAGACTGAAAAAGAGGGGGGAAAGAGGAGATAGGTTTGCATAACATTTGCATATGCTAATTGATATGTATAGATGAGGTATAGCAGCAATACACCAATAGGTACAACACCTACTGTCATAAAATGAGAAGGCAAAAAGAGCCCTATTAGAAAAATATGTATTAAATTACTCTGCTTCTTAGAATAACATTTTCAGCAACTAACACCATATTTTAAAGCCCAGGCCTTTTGCAAAGCTGCAGAAACATGTCAGATTTATCAGCACAAGTATAAAGCTTAAGTGCTCTGGAATCTTTCTAGCCATATTATGCTCTTCATTGAGGGTAATTCATTGTACTGTTACAACTTTAAAATGAAACAAAACTATCAACTTTCTGCGAACCTGCTTCATTGATGATAATATAAAGCTTATGGGGATTGGTTAAATTCCATCTGACAAAGAAAATGGTTCAAAATCTGTTGATGGGGACCCTCCAGCCAAAAGGTGAGGACTTTCAACTCTAGGTCAGTGCAGTAGGACATGGTTTTAAATACATGCTTAATTCTCCCATTGAAGTCAATGGGAATTCAATTTAGCAGGATGATACTCTCTGCTTTCCCCTACCCATTATTCTAGCTAATGTTACATAGTATTTGGGGTGTGTGTGTGTGTGTGTGTGTGTGTTAATGATGAGGTTGTGGACTCTGATCCGAGCTCTAATCAGCTGCAATTGTTTGTGGTTCTGGATGGGGATTTGCATTCAAATATGTTTCAAAAAGACTTAGGTGAGCATCACTTCTAAATATGCTTGAGCATCCAGAGTTCCATCTACAGAAGCTTCATGCACACACGCGTGAATTCATGGTTACATCTCCTTATTTTGGATTGGGGTGATCAGTCATTGATTGATTGACGGCGCTCCCTGCTCCAGCAGAACTTGCAACTAATTGAATGAGTTCAGTAATGAAACACATCGCCATGTACAGGGTGGGACGACGACAAAGGACTTGAACTCAAGTCTTTCCCCCCAGATCTTCCTCCTCTGCTGCCCTTTTTTAATCTAAAAAAAAACACCAACACTTCACTTTGCTTACAGGGCTGCTGCACTTGCTGTAAAGGACTCTGTTGGTGATACCCCAGGCATCCACCATCTTAATTTGCTCATAAACCTAAATTTTCATCTATACATATCAATCAGCATATGCAAATTTTATGTACTTTACTGTCACAGGCCTGTGTCTTGAGTATTTAAAGTACCTAGGACTGCATTCAATAGTTCCAGGAGTGGAACACTAGCAGACAGATGAATTTTAATGTTGTACAACAGAGGGATTCTCCATACCAACCAGACTATTGCACAGTCTATTGTGCACCAGATTCGATTCTGCAACAAAGCTACCAGCAATCTGCTTATGCGTTCTCTTGCACAACAATGCTCCACTAACACCAAACAAGAATACCACCAAGACCGTGTGTGTGTGTGTGTGTGTGTGTGTGTGTGTGTGTGTGTCTATGTGTAGAGGTACTACAGAACTGGCCTATCAGTTGTGAGGTGGTTCTGTGATTTTTCATTCAAAAGGTAAAGTAAGTGATTTTTTTTTTTTTAAGTTAGCATTTCATATATCAACCATGGACCGTTGTTCCCAGCATCTGTGTCTCATTGTTAACTTTGGCACCTGTTTTGAAGAAAGAAGCTTTAATAAATAAAGGAAAGGAAACTCAAGACCGAACCATAATAAATAATCATCATCATAATAACTTAAATCTCAATAAATATTTTCTCTAGATTTGTCTCTGGCCGGATGCATTGCAGCAAGTAGTCTTTGTTCACTCACGACGACCTCAAATAGAAATGTAGTCCTTTAAGTAAGTGACCTTTAGTCCTTTGTGTAAACCAAGAAGAAAAAAAAGATCCACATTTTTTTTTCATGGCACAGCCGAGGCAGAAGCAAGTGGTTAAAAACACAACTTGTATTCAGAGAGAAGATGAAAAGAAAACTCTTATTTCTCCCCCAATTCCAATAATCACGCTTGAGTTCAATTCGCAACTTTTGTGTTGGAACTGCTTTTCAAAAGCGGGTGGAATTTTAGCTAGCTAACTGGAAGCCCTGCTCTCCAATATACCAACGGTGCAATCCTGTTCATATCTACTAAAAAAACCAAATCTCAACAAGATCAATGGGCCTTATCCCCACATGAGCAGGTATAGAATGGCAGGCTAAAAATATTTTTGCTGACACCTTAGGCTTGCTACTCAGGTTACCTCTGTGGTGTGAGAGCTTCGAGAGTGCCACGACTTCCTGCTCCTCCAGGTAACATGAGAAACCCAGTACAGTGGTACCTCGGGTTACATACGCTTCAGGTTACATACGCTTCAGGTTACAGACTCCGCTAACCCAGAAATATTACCTCAGGTTAAGAACTTTGCTTCAGGATGAGAACAGAAATTGTGCTCCGGTGGCGCAGCGGCAGCAGGAGGCCCCATTAGATAAAGTGGTGCTTCAGTTAAGAACGGACCTCTGGAACGAGGTACTTAACCCGAGGTACCACTGTACATGGAAAGTCTGTTCCTCTCCATTCTCACGCTAACCTAATTTTGTGAAAGCTGATACTGTTGAGCAGAGAAGCTACAGCATAGCTGGGGGGGGGGGTGTCTCCTGACTCTGACGGTGCAAGGAGGAGAGGACTTCATAATATCCTGGTGGGAACAGACAGGAGTGCTGCTGCTGTGGTTTCTATAATACCAGGGTATGCTGCAGGCATGCCAACTCTAGGGGGCAGAGGTGCCATCAGCCCCCTCAATATTCCTTAGCAGGGAGCTCAGCCCTCCAAAATATTAAAGGGGTGGAAGAGGCCAAGCCACCAAGCATGGTCAAAAGGCAGGTTCCTTCTGGGCATGAGAGAGAGAAGGAGCTGCAGCCAGCGAATGTGCAGCGCTGGGCAAGGCCTCCTGCCAATGACGCCTCGCCTTCTGATGATGCGTGTCGTGCACATGACATCACAGGCGCGTGCCAGGCAGCTGAACCTCCCCAATCGTTGACCCAAGGCAGTGCCTGGGGCAAGCTGAGTAGCAGGCTTAAGAGTCCCACATTCTACTACCTTGCTACTTCACTTCTTTCCATTTTCCCGCCTGCTCTGCCTCAAGTGGCAAATTCGCCGTTGATGTTCGCCGCTGAAATTCGCCGGCAGGTATTTGCACCCGCCGTTTTAACTGGTTTTCATGTTTTAACGTTTTACTATGCTTTAAATAATTGTTATTGTATTATTATTATTTTTTAGTGAACATCTTATCTTTTTTTGTAAACCGCTTTGAGGCTTCTGTGACAATCTAGCGGTATATAAATTTTATGGAATAAATAAATAAATAAAGGATCCCCTGCCCCTCTGCCCAAAATTTTGGGGTCAAGGCCAGTGGTGGGTGGTTGTTACTTCCAATTCCGTAACAGAAAAAACCCCAAAGAGGAGCGGAGCAAGCTATCCGACAGAGATTGTGTTGTTAAGCACCTGCCTTGCCAGGGTTTGCCAACAGTGGATCGCCTTAAAGCAAATGTTGTAAGTCTCTTCCATCCATCTTGGATCTCTGCCCCTGAGCATTGATGCTTATTTGCCTTCCTGTAGAAACAAAACGCCCCAGCGGTTGTATCCTATCCAATTCTCCTGTGTTGGATTTCTAACAACCAGGCTCCCACAATTATTATTATTATCATTATTATATTTAGATTGATTTATATCCCGTCTTCTTCTTGTTGTTGTTCTCCCATATGCTTGGTCCTCTTGCCTTCCTCTGAAGCCATCATTCCATCTTCTTGAGAGCCTTGGACCCTTCTTTAGCAGGAATGCAATATCAAACCCAAAAAGGATGTCAGACACACCCACATCTTTTCGCGGAATGTTTTTTCAGTATGTGATAAGTGGATAGGTCATCATCCAAAAACGAAACATCGTCATCGTAGGCAATGGGTCTGCAACAAGGCTGTGGTCTGATTTTGTCACTGGCCAACTTTCTGTTTTGGGTTAAATTGTTTAAAATTTGGTCATACACGGTTACAGCGGACTCGCAGGAACCACTACAATACCGGAAAATCAACTCTTCTTTGGTGTTGTATCCCAAGCCCAAGTCAGTCACATTTAAGTGCATCTCAGTTAAGACACAATCCCGGTTCCTTCCCTTCGGATCTCTCCGTCCTTTTCTGCTGCTGGAATTATTATTGTTCTTTGCTGCACGTTGACGGTTTCTTTCCCTTTTGGAGCTATATGGCGTCGGTTTATCTGGTGACCTCTTCAGGATTTTTATAGTGGCTTGAATGAAATCTTCTACGTCACCAAGCCGCTTGGGATAATCCTCAGAAATATTAGCTGTTTTGAAAATACAGAAAGAAAATAGTTTGTCAGATGAACATGTATTGCGAAGAACCTCTTTTTATATGCAGGCATATATAAATGTATATGTAAATGTGTGTGTGTATGTGTGTGTATACATACACACATGCATACATACATGCACGCGTGTGCACACACACACACAGTCGTACCTTGGTTGTCAAATGGAATCCATTCTGGAAATCTTTTTTACTTCCAAAGATGTTCGACAACAAAGGCACAGCTTCTGATTGGCTAAAGGAGCTTCCTGCAGCCAATCAGAAGCTACGTAAGCTATGTCGGATGTTCAGGTTCCAAAGAACATTCGCAAACTGGAACACTCACTCCGGGTTTGTGGCATTCAGGAGCCAAAACGTTCAAGTCGCAAGGCATTTGGACGTACGACTGTAGTACACACACACACACACACACACACACACACACACACATTTTATATACTTGCATGCTTTCTCTCTGAATGCATAATTATTTAAATGCATCTTTTGATAATTGCGGCTGCAATCCTATGCACACTCACCTGGGAGCAAGTCTGAATGAGCTCAATGCATAGGACTGGTTTGTAGCTCAATTCAGACCTGCATGTTAGAGCAAGAGGAGCAGACCACTTAAATTCACCATGGTAGCATTCCTCAAGCACCCCTTCTCTGCAATGTATGAACCAATGTTCCCCATCACGCATTGGGAGGTTGTGTTTGATTCCAACCCATCTTCCCTCTGCATCTTCCATTCTTCTCGGTGTGCCATGGGCAGAATAGCTTTAGAGGGGACTGTACCATAAATCAAAAGAGGCTTGGGGACTGAATGTGGCCCTGCAAGCCTCTCTAGCGGACCTTTGGGCACATCCACTTCTGGCCCTACCTTACATTCCCTTGCGTGCTTTTCCTTGGACACTGATAATGTCTCTTTGTTGAAGATGGTTAAAGTGAGACGTGCCATCTTGCTGGTTACTCTGAAAGATTTTGAAGCATTTTGTAAGGCGCCAACCAGATCTTAAGCACATTTGGGCTTGTAAATGTGATCATCCTTTTATCAGTGGGAAAAAGCCCTCTTTGCACTACACTCCTGCTAACCCTATCTTGTTAAATATATGTTTGCCTAGCGTAACATTATGAGAGATAATTTGCTTTATGAACAAAACTGAATTGTCCCCCTTAAAAGAGCAAATCCAAACGACGTTGTGTTGGTGTGTGTGTGTTATAGTTATTGTTTTTGACATTGATATGTATTTTTGTGTTTTTATGTTGTAAACCACCATGAGATCCTCAGATAGAGGATTAGTATAGAAAAATAAAATAAAATGGACTGCACTTTCTTCAAAGAAAATGCTTTTTAAAAGAAAAAAATCTTCCATGGTCATGGTGAGGAATGTGTGCTGGTCTTTAGTTGGGGTACTGTTTAGGGAGGGTTGTAGCAGGGGAGATTGTTGCTGTTACTGATTAATTTTTTGTATCCTTATTTTTAAATATTGCTATGATTTATGTGGAAATTGTTCAATTTGATTGTGTACTTTTTGATGTGTTTTGTTCATTGTTTTTGACTACAGTGGTACCTCGGGTTAAGAACTTAATTCCTTCTGGAGGTCCGTACTTAACCTGAAACTGTTCTTAACCTGAGGTACCACTTTAGCTAATGGGGCCTCCCGCTGCTGCTGCGCCGCCACCGTGCAATTTCTGTTCTCATCCTGAAGCAAAGTTCTTAACCCAAGGTACTATTTCTGTGTTAGCAGAGTCTGTAACCTGAAGCGTCTGTAACCTGAGGTACCACTATACTATGGTTATATTTGTAACGATGTAATTTGTTTCATGCTGTAAGCCACCTTGAGGATGGTTTTAGCTGTGGAAAAGTGGCATACAAATAAAATGTATGTATGTATGTATGTATGTATGTCTTTCTTCCCTGGGGGTGTGGATAGAAAGGGGTGCATAAATCAGTGCAGAAACTAGCTTTTTGTGCAAAGGCCAAACAAACATTCCACGCTCCATCCTCTTTTGCCACACTTACATGCGGCCCTCAAGAAGTTGCGCAGAAGAGAATCTGGCCCTTGAGCTGAAAAAGTGCTCCCCGGCCTTGCCTTAAACAAATATCCTTCCCGCCCTCCCTGACCCCAGTATATTTAGATGTTCATCAACCGCTGGCCTGTGAAAGTGCATGAAATCAATGAGCCGTTCTCATCTTTTCACCTTCCCGCAGCCTGGTTTGAAATGAGCAGACGTAGCAGGCTAGGAAGCAGAATATAATCCTCGTGTTACAAGCCCTTCTCAGTAATGGACGTTACCAGAAAGGAATCAAAATTCACCTGTTGGCCTTCTGAAATGGTGACAGGGCTTAAGCAATTAAAGGAACTTCTCGTATTAAGAAGAGGCTTCGTGCATGGCTTGGGTGAAATGGAGACCCATCAGTGGCATTCGTTAACGGAATATAACATCAAAGATGCTGAGATCAAATAATCTTTAAATGATTAATGGTGTTCAGGTTCATTATCTTCCTTACTGGCTCACCAATGTGTCAGAGGAAGAACAGAGGGCAATCTTTCCTCCATCTTAGAATTCCCACAAAATCTGACACTCTCACTGGTGTCCTCTCTCTCTCTCAGGTGGCTTGTTAAATGTCCTGAGGCAGTACTGGAACAAGCCAATACTTTGGGGCGGGAGGAATCAGAACTGAAGTCGCTTAGTTAGTTGTCCCCCACAGCCATAATGGTTCCAGTTGCATCTCCCTTATCAGGTGAGAGGGAGAGGCAGAAGCAGGCTGGTTTTAAACTCCAGATATAATGAATGTTTCAATATAATCTGTAGGCTGTATATACATTTAAAGCTCATACATTAAAAGAACCATGGGAATTGTAGTTCATCCCTTGGAGAGCTACAATTTTCAGGACAATTAATATGAACTGCAGTTCCCAGGGGCAGTTGTGTGTTTTAAATACCTGGTGTGTAAGCAGCCATAATCTCACACTTTAGTCCAAGAAAATTGGGGGGGGGGTGTCTACAAGAGTTGGGTTTAAATCTCTCCTCAGCCACAGTCTGAAATCTCCATCTGCATGAATTATATTCTTATGTTATTTATTTATTGGATTTCTTAACTGCCCTTCACCATAAGGTCAAAGGGCAGGTGGGTAGGTAGGTAGATAGATACAGATATATCTCAACACATTAAAATTAGATTACGATTGCAGGGTCAGGTCAGTTCATATGGGGGAGGCGGTCTTTGGGGTATTTATTACAGGTAAGGAGGGCCCTGAAAACACACTTCTCGGGTGTCAATGGCCAGGTAAAGAGATGTGTCTTTTGTACTCGCTGAAAGGTGTACAGTGAAGAAGCGAGACACACCTCTGTTGGAGAGGGAACTCTACAGGTAAAGGTAAAGGACCCCTAGATGGTTAAGTCCAGACAAAGGCGACTATGGGGTGTGGCACTCATCTCGCTTCAGGCTGAGGGAGCCAGATTTTGTCCACAGACAGCTTTCTGGGTCATGTGGCCAGCATGACTAAACCACTTCTGGTGCAATGGGACTCCATGACAAGTGCTAGAGTGCATGGGAACACTGTTTACCTAACCCGCCACAGTGGTACCTATTTATCTATTTGCACTGGTCTGCTTTCATACTGCTAGGTTGGCAGAAGCTGGGAGAGAGCAATTGGAGCTCACCACCACCGAGCGGATTCAAATCGGCAAGCCCAAGTGACTCAGTGGTTAAGACCTATATTTACCTTTTACTTATGACATCATCCAGCATGAGCGGCCCTTAATTTAAACCTACCCAGACCCAATGACCATTATCTGAGAACTTTCTTCATGTGCCTCCTCTACAAGAGGTCCAAAGGGTGGCAACACAAGAACAGGCCTTTTCTGCAGTGGCTCCCCGTTTGTGAAAAGATTTCCCCAGGGACGTTTGGATTTTTATCTTGTATTTTTATGAACTGCCCTGAAATCTACAGATGAAGGACAGTATACAAATGTAATACATTGGTACCTCAGGTTAAATACTTAATTCGTTCCGGAGGTCCGTTCTTAACCTGAAACTGTTCTTCACCTGAAGCACTACTTTAGCTAATGGGGCCCCCAGCTGCTGCTGCGCCGCTGGAGCACGATTTCTGTTCTCATCCTGAAACAAAGTTCTTAACCTGAAGCACTATTTCTGGGTTAGCGGAGTCTGTAACCTGAAGCGTTTGTAACCTGAAGCGTATGTAACCTGAGGTACCACTGTAAATACTAATAAAATAATTTTAAATAGAAGCAGGGGAACTATCCAGAGGTTAATATTGATGGAAATATTTTACATTTATAAATCTCAAATGACATCTGGCAATGGAAGAACCCGCCATCTAAAGCTGAGTCAACCCCAGTGACACCTCAAGTGTGGTGATGGTGGAGATGTCAGATTTCAATGAAAGGGCCAGGCAAGGGAGAAAGAGATGAAATATCCCCACTCCTCCCAGTTGTCTTCAGGTATCAGAGCCCAGGTGCAGGAGGGAAGTGGCAATGGGGATACAGACTGTAAGAGGCACCTCTCACACCCCTACAAATTGCCCCTCCACACCCAATATATCCTACTTGGGCAGACCAGGGTTTAAACAAAAATACAGTGTACAGTGGTACCTTGGGATGTGAACAGGATCCATTCCGGAGCCCCATTCGCATCCTGAACAGAACATAAGACACGACTATGCGTCTTGACGCTTCCGCGCATGCGCACGACGTAATTTTGACCGTCTGTGCATGCACGAGCGATGAAACCCGGAAGTAACGCGCTCCGTTACTTCCAGGTCTCTGCGGAGCGCAACCCGAAAATACTTATTCTGAAGCGTATTTATCCCGAGGTATGACTGTACTGAATTTCCATGTTGGAAACCAACATCCAAATCCCCGCTCTGTTATGAAGCTTAATTTCCTAAGCACAAGCAGGATCTCACTCAGGAAGTGAGAGGGTATTTATATCTGCCCAATCAAGCCACAGTCAACCTGCAGGTGGATGCATATAGCCCTAGTTGGATGAGCGCTTAGCGGCTGCAAGCAGTGCTGCCCATGCAGTTCCTCCCCTCAATCTGGCTGCCAGGACTGCATGCACAGAGCCCTGTTAGGAAATAAGCGATAATGCCAGGCAGCTATTTGGGGGGGATGCCGGACAGGGGAGGGGAGGGGAAGCACTGGATTTAGTTCTGCTTCTGCCTACTGAACAGCTGATCGGCATGATTCTTTCATTGTGCACAGACAGACTTGGCCGCCCGGTGAAAATGCCGTCTGATATGTGCCTATGTGTGTGTGGTCTTCACCTGTTGCCCGCTACTTCCTCCCAGAGTACACTTGATTCCCCCTCGGACACGCAGCCGCCGGGCTGCATGTCGGCCTGCGTGGCGCAGGAAAGGGCTTTGATGAAGCACTGAAGGAAGTTGCCACCTGTCCGCCTCTGCTCCTTGCAAGCCACCGTGAGAGGCAAAGGAAGCTTTCGACAGATGGCGAAGAACGGTTTCTTCAGGCCGCTTATGCAAACGGCAAACAGAATAACGGAATTTTGCAAGGCAACCCAAATTCTGCTTGCAGAATAAATTGCGCACGCAGGAAATGGTATGCAGATGTGTGTCCTTTTTTTTTGCATAGGCATGGTCAGTCAGCCATGAGTAAAAGAAAGAAATTCAGTAGCTGAGAGCTACAAAACTGGAATGTTTGATTTTGCAGTAAAACAGTTTAGGGAGCAAAGGGCCATTAATGGTTCTGCACCAACCCAGAGGCAGATCTCGGCTGGAGTGCGGCAGGACTCTGTCCTACACCCTGTGCTTGTTAAATTTTTTTTAATGACATGATTTGGATAAAAGTATAAAGGGAATGCTTTTCAAATTTCAAATGACATGAAGCTGGGGAGGGACAGAAAACAGAGACCAAATGGCCTTGACTGGCTGGCACGCCAGGCCAAGGCCAACAGGATGAACTTTGAGAAGGCTGCTCCATCACCTTTTATATGGGGAGCGAATTTGACCCACAGAGCAGCAGTTCTCAACCTGGGTCCCAGATGTTGTTGGACTACAACTCCCATCATCCCTGAGCTCTGGCCTTGCTAGCTAGGGGTGATGGGAGTAGCTGGCCTTCCATAGAGGAAGACTCTTGGGCATCCTTCTTGCATAGAGAAGGGTGGGTAGGAGAACGATCCCATCACTGTGATGGACAATTGCTTAAGGGAAGCTGCTTCCCTTCATAGAGCAGGCATTACCCTCACCAGGGTCGCGGGTGGCGCTGTGCTCTAAACCACTGAGCCCCTTGGGTTTGCCGATCGGAAGGTCGGCGGTTTGAATTCCGCACGACAGGGTGAGCTCCCGCTGCTCTGTCACAGCTTCTGCCAACCTAGCAGTTTGAAAGCACACCAGTGCAAGTAGATAAATAGGTACCACTGCGGCGGGAAGGTAAACGGTGTTTCCGTGCACTCTGGCTTCCATCACAATGTTCCATTGCACCAGAAGCAGTTTAGTCCTGCTGGCCACATGACCTGGAAAGCTTGTCTGTGGAAAAACGCTGGCTCCCTTGGCCTGAAAGCGAGATGAGTGCCGCAACCCCATAGTTGCCCTTGACTGGACTTAACCATCCAGGGGTCCTTTACCTTTGACCTTTACCTTTCCACCCTCACCTTCTACATTCAGAGCCTCTGCAATGACCTGTTCACCCCACTTTCAGAGCAGTGAAGAATGAACCAGTCACTTGGGGGCCAAGTAGGAATTTTGGGATCAACCTCCAATTGGCCTTGATATTTTGTGTGAGACAGAGGTATATAAATACTTCTATGAATTAAAATAAGGCTGCCAAAGGTGGCTTCTGAAGGAAGGGCGACATGAGATTACATAGGATCTCCTATCTAAAGGTAAAGATAAAGGTACCCTTGCCCGTACGGGCCAGTCGTGACCGACTCTGGGGTTGCGTGCTCATCTCGCTTAAGAGCCAGCGCTGTCCAAGGACACTTCCGGGTCACGTGGCCAGCGTGACGAAGCTGCTCTGGCGAGCCTGCACCAGCGCAGCACACGGAAACACCGTTTACCTTCCCGCTATAAAGCGGTACCTATTTATCTACTTGCACTTTAGGGGTGCTTTCGAACTGCTAGGTGGGCAGGAGCTGGGACCGAACGACGGGAGCTCACCCCGCCGCGGGGATTCGAACCGCTGACCATACGATCGGCAAGTCCTAGGCACTGAGGTTTTACCCACAGCGCCACCCTATCTATTTTCATAAAAAAAGAAAAGCCAGTTCACAAGACACCCAAGCATTCCCTCATCTATGCTCTGGGGCGGAGGGTGAGGAGGGTAGAAGGAGAAGGGAATGGAGACAGTTAGGTCTTTTGGTCAACGTGCATCATTCCTTGAAAGGAAATGTGGCTTCTCTCCAAAACGTGAAGAGGGAAACCCAGGAAAGATTCCAGTGGGAAGAGAGCGAGAGAGGAGGAGGATCAGACGAGGCAGAAAGCGAAAGAATGCAGATGTGGTTTTGCATCTGCTGGGAAGATGCTGAGAAGGCAAAAGAGGCTTGAGAATCCCTCTCTCTCACAGGAAAGCAACAGAGGAGAGGACTGTGTGATTTGCAGCAACAATAATTACCCTGGGAGCACAGTGCCCTATGCGCTGCAATGAGCATGGGTGGCCTGCGGAGAAGGGAAGTGGGCATATGTGGCATATTCTGGGCAGGCCTATGAACCTGACTGTGGCCCGCTCAGTCTTGTAGCCTGTTGCATGCTTCTTTCCATCCTCTTTATATGTCCAGCTGTCCTTTGTCAACAACAAATTGTCACTGTTTCTTGTGTTGAATATATGCTAAATGGTAATTTATGGACCCGGGACACGGGTGGCGCTGTGGGTAAAACCACAGAGCCTAGGGCTTGCCAATCAGAAGGTCGGCGGTTTGAATCCCCGCGGCGGGGTGTGCTCCCATTGTTCGGTCCCAGCTCCTGCCAACCTAGCATTTCGAAAGCACCTTTGGGTGCAAGTAGATAAATAGGGACCGCTTACCAGCGGGAAGGTAAACGGCATCCTGTGTGCTGCGCTGGCTCGCCAGATGCAGCTTGTCACGCTGGCCACGTGACCTGGAAGTGTCTGCGGACAGCGCTGGCCCCCGGCCTATAGAGTGAGATGAGCGCACAGCCCTAGAGTCTGGCAAGACTGGCCCGTACGGGCAGGGGTACCTTTACCTTTACCTTAATTTATGGACCTAATAGGTATCTAAAGCCATTTGCACATAACATCATAGGAGCCTACGCAACACAAAAACACTGTTGCTGTATGTAGGTTTTATTTTATTTGTTTTTTATCTTATATTTTGGAAAGGTACATCCCTTTTTTTATTCCTTTAGCTTTTTTGGGCGGCCCCAAGAGAGTGGGCCCCTAAGCTATAGCTTGTTTAGCTTATACATAAATCCAGCACTGGGCTGCTGGACATTAAGGACCAGCTTTCAACTTCACATTTAGATACTACTATTAAATGTAGCTAAACCTTTTGGTCTCCTACTCATTTTGCTCCACTGATATAGAGGGGAACTGGACTGTCAGTAATTTGTGGCAATCCTATTTCTGGTAGCTGGCGCTTCTAGGTGATTTGGCATATTGATATGCTAGATACACAGTTTGCTTATTGCACCCTGAGAAGCATCGAATCTGCACAAGCCTTCAGTTTGCACCTAGATGTGGGATTCTTTGTCATAGCCTAAATGAGCCCAGTTAGCTGATGGCCTTTGAATTTAAGCCCAAGGAGCATTGTTCCGCCTCCCAGCCATTGGTGTGTCTCCTTCCGCTTGGTGAGCTCTGACTCATTCTCCACGAACAAAAGCTGCCACCTCATTGACTTCATTAGGGATGCTTTGCACTCAGCAGTGCCGCCAGATTTCAAAACAAACAGACAGAGGTTTGCCCTTCCTTGTATTCATGCAGAGGAAGCGGCAAGTATACTGAAAGTACACATGTTCCCGATTATTCGCAATGGCAAGAATGCTGATGGAATCACTAGAGTTAAGGAATCCCAGCACTCCGTTGGAACCAGGCATGTAGAGACTTCTGGTTCACATGCAACCTCCTCCTCATAAGAAAGAGGAGAGGGCAAGCAAATAGAAAAGTCGGTGGTGGCCCCACAAGAGCACACCTGTGAATCTTTTTGGTTTTATAGCAATTGGACTACCATGGCGTCTAATCTCTAGTAAGGTATCCTCAACAACCTCACCAGACTACCATTCCCAAAGTCTAAAACCACCAAACGATAAAACACAGTGATAACCATATGTGTGAACCCTCAGACCCAATGATGCCAATGGGATTACAGTTTCATGGTGAATGAGTCAGCCTGGTCCTCTTAATTCCCAGTGGCTTCTGCATGACTGGGCCTGAGCCGTCAGTCATGCTTGCTATATTTCTGCTTTTGGGTTTAGATCTCTCTCAGCTCTAGGCTGGGAAAGGAGGAACCCTCCCAGGAGAGCTGGTTAAACACATGTCCAGACTTGGTGCCAGGACAACCAAAAGCATTTTTTTTCCAGCAGTTAAGACGGATAGAAGTTGAAAGGAGGAAAAGAAACATTTTCTTACAGTCCATTTGGCCAGCATAAGGAGTCAGCAGCCGGTTGGAAGTGTGATCGTCTTCAGCTCCCTCTAGCACTGAGCGGGTCTGGCCATCAGGAAGAGGAAAGGTGGAGATTGTGTTGAGTAGCAACATGCAGACAGCCACCACATCCCATAACTTCATCTTAGATTTCCTTCCAGCACAGGACCCTGGCAAACAGGAGAGAGATATGACATTAGCGTTTGCATCTTCTCCGTGGATCCCATCCACACTGCTCCATGGCTCAGTGGCAGAGCATCTGAATGCAGAGAAAGTTCTGGCTTCAATGCCCAGCATCTCCAAGTTGCGCTGGGAGGGACTTCCTGCCTGAAACCCCAGAAAGCCGCTGCCTGTCTGTGGACAATACTGACCTAGATGGACCAGTAGTGTGGCTTATAAGTTCTTGTGCCAATCCCTGGCCTCTATCTCATATCCCCATCTTGGCAGTCTGCTTTAAGGCCAAGTCTTCTGGGGCTAGAACGCTGCCGTTTCCATCTTCCCTTACAATAACAAACACAGTGCTTGGCGCTGAGGCCATGTTTATTAGAAGCAAGCAATAACTCGTCTTGCTGGCCCTGGTTCTGTGACTCAGCTGCTGGTCAGGGTGGAGAAAGGAGGTGGGCCTTTAAAGAGCCTTTGAAAGGAACCCAACACTGTCTTCTCAAAGGCTGCTGCCAGACAGTGGATCTGTTCAGGTGCTAACTGGTGATGGCCAACTTCAAAGGCTTTCCCTGCTCTCCGTTTCTATGTTCCAAACCTAACGCTTTGTCTTTAAAACAAACTTGGAGCAGACAGCCCTTCAGATGCACAGCGAACACCAACACACACACACCCTGCTCCATCAACAGCACGTTCCCAAATGACACGAGCGCTTGAGTGTCCCTCACACCCATTGCCAGCATGTCTGGTTACTGTGTTCATACAGGAGAGAAAGTGTCATGAATACTATTTTTGAAAAATCAACCATACCTTTTAGTATCACCGTTTATTCATTTCCGCTCCACCTTCCTCCCTTGCAAGGAGCTCAAGGTGGTGTACATGTCTCTCTCCTTCCTCATTTAATCCTCACAACAACCCTGTGAGGTAGGTTAGCTAAGAGGCAGTGACAGCCCAAGGCCACCCAGCGAGTGGGGATTCAAACCCTGGTCTCCCAGCTCTGACACTCTAACCAGGCTGCACATTTATATTAGAGACACAGGAAACCCAAAAGCTAACGAACAAAAAACAGGCAAGGTAAATGTCACGTGTAAAAACAATAATGCAGAGCTTTCGGCAGCACTTGACTGTGGCCTGTCTTCAGCCCCATGAAGTAATAACTGAGCGCACACAGAACACCCTTCTCTCGTCACAATGAGCAGCCCACTCAGGGCCCCCCGAGGCATTGGGCTGCCTGAGGCTTCTCCCCGGCCTTAAGGGTGCATTCATGATTATTTATGCTCAGGATTATATCAGGTTGGAGGGGGAAGAATGATTATTGGTTTGTAGGGTTTTTTGTTCTTGCTTTTATCATGTATTTTGTGCTTTTATATTGTATTGTTTTATGTTGTGAACCACCCTGAGATCTGAGGATGAAGGGTGGCATAGAAGTTTAATAAATAATAATAAGCAATCTGCTTCAAAATAGCATTTGTACGGGCAAAAGGTTCAGGGTGGCCATACTGCTTCATTTCCAATCAGAACATGGAAGCAGGACATTTTGCGTATTAAGTTATAATCCAAACATGCATGCAGAACCTTTTCTTCAATTACATGGGATTGGAAATGGGGGGAAAACCCAACACCCCCAAATGCAACCGAACAAGAGAGATTTAAGCATCATATACATAAAAACACGGAACTTATTTCAGCCCTGTTTAAGCATAGTGCTTAAAAATCACTATTATTTTTCTTTGTAAAAAATCCTTGTATTTTTCAGAATTTTAGCACAATTTTCTCCTATTACAGACATTTCTGCAAGCAGTTTTACCCAATATATCCATATTTGTGCAAGCAATTTTGTCCAACAGAATGCATTTTTGTCCATCATATTTTTTACTAACATATGCATTTTAAAGTGCAGCTTTAAAACAGAGGACTGTTACAAAATTCAGAGAAGCGCAAATTTCAAATGATAGCTGCGTCTCAGTTCTCATACTGGTTTGAGAAGTGCAAATTACAGTGGTACCTCGGGTTAAGTACTTAATTCGTTCCGGAGGTCCGTACTTAACCTGAAACTGTTCTTAACCTGAAGCACCACTTTAGCTCATGGGGCCTCCTGCTGCCGCTGCTGCACGATTTCTGTTCTCATCCTGAAGCAAAGTTCTTAACCCGAGGTACTATTTCTGGGTTAGCGGAGTCTGTAACCTGAAGCGTATGTAACCTGAAGCGTATGTAACCCGAGGTACCACTGTACATGCTTCCTCGTTAAAATGCAAAATGTTAGAATATCTCTTCCGCTCCCATCGCTGGTAGTGGGTTGGGCAGCATGTGTGTGTTGCAACAACTAATGTGGTTTTAAGTGCTTTAGCCGAAAGCTTCCAAGTTTGTGGCGAACAAGAAAAAGGAAGAGTTGGGAATGGCCCAATGGAAATAATCAGTAGAAAGGCTCTGACCTGGGTCTTCTTAGTCTCATGGTAGAAAGGACCCCCTCCTGAGTAGGTTGCCTGCTCAGAACTGTGCAGATAATCTTGCTCTCTCAGTAAGTGGAAGCAACGTAATACTTTATTGGGAAGGCAGGTAAGCAAAAAAGCCCCATTGTGCCCCACTGACCGCTACTGTTAGTTGGAATGGGAGAGACCCTTTGCACATGCTCAAACTGGACTCCCCACTGTGCATTAGCACTGGGATTCAGAACAGCTTCCGTAGCTTAAGGTTTGCCCCTGGTTCTGCATGTTTTCGATATTTAAATTTTTTTTAAAAGGGGGAATTCAGATTGGGTTACATTCAAAGGGCCTTTGATACGTAAACTTTACAGAAAGTGGGATACTTTGGCTTTCACATCAAAGTAGCAGTGATTTGGCAACTTTCAGTCATAAAGTGTTATATGGGCACCAGTCGGGCCTGGTAAAGTGAAGAGAGAAAGAGGGAGGGAGGGAAGGGAGAACAGGAGGAGGCATCTGCAAAACTGGAAGGACGTGTAACGCTCTCTTGGCTGAGTTTTCCTATCCTAGTTGAAACTATTATCCGCCTTGCAAACTGGCAATCTGGGACCAATCAGGCATTTCCCATCCTTTCAGCTTGTTCACCAAGAGCAGGCTGGTGTGTGGACTGCATTAAATTCCACTGTAAATATTTCAGAACATAGTTCTAGCAGAGAGGCTTTTCTGTCTTTCTTGGAAAGTTCTGCCCAAGCGGATCTGAGGTCAGGGGCAAAGGAAACCAGAGCACTTGCAGGTGCTTAATAGAGCCCGGGTGAATACCCTCCCCGCCCCTGCAAGCAAACCTGTTTACACTGTAAAAAAAGAGACTTATTTCTGCAAGGCTTAGTTAGTTCTGCCACAATGAAAAAATCAGCACTATTGCGCTTGCGCAGAGTGCCTTTCCCTCACCACTGGGTAACCACAAGCAGTATCCTCGGAGCTCCGATTAGGGCTTCTAAGGCAAAGGACGCAAATGAATTCTACACGAACAGGAGACCCGACACTTCTGGATTTCAGCGGGATTACAGCATTATCTGCAGCCCCTTGAAGATGAGACATTTGGTTTTGACCCCTTTGGCAGCACATCCTGAACAAATTAGACCAGCCTTAATGACACATGGCACGTAAAGGCAGCTTTCCCCCTCTGTGGGATTTCAAATACCCGTGTTTACCGTCACTAGTCTTATTAATTCTGGTAGAATTCTACCGCATATTGGGTTAAGACTTTCTGTTGGTGCTGCCCTAGAATCTTTACATACATAACATTGGGGGAAGAGGCGCATTTGCACACTTGGGATGTGCATTTGGGTGGCACCAGAGAAGACACAATGGGTCGATTTTCATGCAGCTGACACCAGTAAGTGAAGTCCTGCGCATCTTTTATGCACAAAAAGTGTCACTGTATTTAAAAGGGCCGGGACATCCATGAGGCAGACTGAGGTAACCACCTTGGCTGGCAGAAGCCAATGGACACTGCCAGGGCTGGATTTAGGTTTGATGAGGCCCTAAGCTACTGAAGGTAATGGGGCCCTTTATATGCCCAGCTGTCCTTTGTCAACAACAAATTGTTGCTGTTTTTTGTGTTGAATATTTGCTATATGGTAATTTATGGACTGGGATGTGGGTGGCGCTGTGGGTTAAACCACAGAGCCTAGGACTTGCCAGTCAGAAGGTCGGTGGTTCGAATCCCCGCAACGGGGTGAGCTCCCGTTGCTCGGTCCCTGCTCCTGCCAACCTAGCAGTTTGAAAGCACGTCAAAGTGCAAGTAGATTAATAGCTACCGCTCCGGCGGGAAGGTAAACGGCATTTCTGTGTGCTGCTCTGGTTCGCCAGAAGCGGCTTAGTCATGCTGGCCACATGACCCGGAAGCTGTACACCAGCTCCCTCAGTCAATAAAGTGAGATGAGCGCCGCAACCCCAGAGTCGGTCACGACTGGACCTAATGGTCAGGGGTCCCTTTTGTTTTTGTTTTTGTTTAGTTGTTTAGTCATGTCCAACTCTTCGTGACCCCATGGACCCTTTACCTTTACCTAATTTATGGACCTAATAGGTATCTAAAGCCATTTGCACATGCAGAAGGTAGACACCCTATATATAGAAATGAGCAAAGTGGTGATATTTTAGGGAGCAGGCTAGCAGGTGGGGCCCATTACTGACATCATAGGAGCTTACACAATGCAAAACACTGTTGCTGTATGTAGGTTTTATTTTATTTGTTTTTTATCTTATATTTTGAAATGTACATCCAGTTTTTTGCCCTTTAAATTTTTTGGGTTCCCCCAAGAGAGTGGGGCCCTAAACTATTGCTTGTTTAGCTTATACATAAGTCCGGCACTGGATACTGCCATGGGCATTATGCTCCACTGCCACCATGCACCCTTCTCCTTCAGCTGCTGTCCCTCTCTGGCTTCGACAGCAGTAGCTTCCAACCTCTGGCTTGCCTTTCGGCTGTGGCTTTCAGCTGCAGCTTTCGGCGTCAGCTTTTGGAAACCCAAAGCTGAAAACTGAAGCTAAAGCTGGAGATGAGCTCTAAAGGTTCTTTTGGCTCGGTC